GAGATTAGTGCAAAATTTTCAATTTTGACTACTGATGTCAGAACAAAATTTCAAGTCTCAATCCTTCAGTTACTTAATTGTTTTCAAGTGTTTCAAAGTCGTCATACTTCAAATGATGTAAGAACAATGTTTTTAAATTTATAACTTATTGCCTTTTCATTCATATTATAAATTATATTATCAAATATCTATCGTTGGCCCACTGAGGTAATCATCGAACTGTCTGCTGTATCTCATCAATGTGCGATATATTCTGGCAACCTCACTATTTGGTTCCATTCATTCCTGTGGATAAAATACACCATTACTCAATTCCAACTTTACGCTGGTAAATTTCAAATTAGCGGTACTGACAGCAAATGTGTCTCACAGAAACATATTGTGTCTGATCAGACAGTTTCCCAGTGTCGAGTGCCCAAATGAACACATGTCTTGGTTTTCTTATGCTGGATATTAGTTTAAAGTACTTCCCTGCTGTTTTGTGGTTGGAATGATTTCAACACGTTCCTTCAAATAGGACCAAGTGTGTGGTTTTAAATAACTGTGCAAAAAAATATTTTCACCTCTTCCATTCAACATCATCTTTGGCACCCATAAGACAAAACCGGTGACCACATATCTCCCTTCAACTGCAATTGCTTTAAAAATCACATTATCATCACACTCAATGTATATCAATACTGAATTTACCATTGGAGCTCATCTCACCTGCAAAAGTATCAAAGAAACCATATCTGTTGAGTGATGTGATAGCATTAACAGGAAAAGCAGTAGTTGATGCTCGTAATATCTTCTACCCTTTAACATATACTTAACATATATATTCTGCCCTTTCTGAAGGTCTGAAGCTAGTACCTTCAGATGGAGGAGCAGTTTATGTATATTTTATTATATCAGCACCAGATTTACCTCTACTTTATCAATTGGCGTGGTGGAGGCTTCCTCGAACCTACGTCAAGAAATCGACGCCCAAATACAAAGCTACTCATTCCTAACACAGGTACGTAGATACGCCAAGCATTATTCGTCGTTCAGGCTCGATTCTCTCGTAAACCCGATACACAACAACAGCCATGGCCTCTCCTCCACGGGCCCCTAAGCAGTGGAGTCTCTCGAAAACCGAGCCTATTAAACAGCTTCCAGAATTGAAGGCAAAATCTGGTCCATTCCTCGCCGACGGTATCACATGGGAAAAGATGACTAAGACCCAGACCCTGCGCAGTTTCATCGACGTCGGAGAAACAGTACCACTCTCCCAACGCCGAATGGCCCGGAAGAAAGTCAATTTCCTGGAACTCATGTTCAGGCAAATAGCCAACTACTGTCCTGCAATACTTAGGAATACCATAGTTAAGACCTCGAACTCTACCCCATCTGTTTGGAACATGATACACACACATTTTGGCTTCCAGATCACGGGAGCTTACTTTCTGGATTTTGCCAACTTGCATTTAGAAGCTGATAATGGCCTAGATAACCTCTTCCAAAGACTGATGGCCTTTGTTTACAACACCTTACCGATAGCCTGTCCCACTACGGTGAAGTGACCAACGAGGACGAGGAACAATTTTCCACCTTGGAGAATTTCATTTTCCTGGCCGGGCTTAAACTGATACATCCTGAGTTATCTAAGTTTGTAAAACAGAGGTACAGAACACACTTAAGATCACGAACTTTAGCCTCGATAAAACCAAAATCTCAGTCCCACACCTCCTTACTTGACAAAATACGTACAGCTGACGGCACCAGGATTATGTGCACCGCCGTTAAAAGGTATCGTAAACCTACTGGCAGTGGAACTCCATACAAGGGGAACGCAACACCCAGCCACCCAACCACCCAGCCAGGTCTTATCTACTATGCAAACAAGGCAGCAAACCCGATAGAGGGCACTTCCTGAGTGAATGTAGTTTCCTTGCAGAACAGTATATAGCCAAAGCCAGACAAATCGCCGACATATTTGATGATCCCCTGAATCTGGGAGCAGATCTGGGCAGATAAATCAGTCAGTGACACTGACAACACCGGATCAAGCCCAAATACCCATGCCTTCCGCATACAGACTCGCCAGTCACCATACTTGGACATAATGTATTCACACCACCCAGTGCGCGTAACCATTGACAGTGGCGCCACAGGAAACAAGATTCGTCAACACCATTGTTAACTCCCGAACATCACTTCCTCAAACGGAACAAAGACTTCTGTCGAGTACATGCCATCTGCACGCTGGATGCCCACAGCGACAATGTACAGCCGCCAGTCTCGCCATCACCCAGGCCGCCAGTACATCCCGGCTAGCACAAAACACTCTGTAAACATGAGCCTTGACCCAGACAGCTTACTCTCACACGATACCAGAGCAAAGTTTATCTCAGTCTTGGATGAATAAGACCTCATCTTCGACCCAAACATCACAGGCTACAAGGGCACAGAAGGTCAATTCTAAGTCAGAGTAAACATGACTCCTGTGGAACCCCCAACAGAAAGGCAGGCTGCCCCAGTATGCTCACTACCAACTACTGGAACTCCAACAGAAGTTCGATGAGCTTGAAGCATTAAGCGTCTTTAAACACCCAGAAGACATCAACATTCCCGCGAGGACCTAAACCCATCCTTCCTTAGCAAGAAACCCAGCGGCGGGTACCGCTTAGTCACGACATTCGCCAATGTTGGCTGCTACATCAGCCCCAGCCATCGCTTATGCCTGATGTGGACTCCACATTACGTCTTATTGCAGAGTGGAAACACATCATCGCCACAGACTTGACTAGCGCATTCTACCAGATTCCACGCTCACGCGACTCCATGAAATATTGTGGAGTTGCCACACCATTTCGGGGTGTACTAGTGTATACACGGTCTACCATGGGCATGCCAGACTCTGAGACGGCCCTGAAAGAACTCATAAGCTGAATGCTTGGTGACCTATCAGAGGAAGGCATTGTAGCCAAAACTGCAGACGACCTGTATTGCGGCGGAAACTCCCTAGGTGAACTCCTGCTGAATCGGAAGAAGTCTTACAGGCCCTGCACAAGTGCGATCTTCGCCTTTCCACAGCTAAAAGAATCATCAACCCTCAGTCCACAACCACACTAGGCTGGACTTGGAACTCTGGCACTTTAAGTGCCTGCCCACAATCACCACTCTTGCCTCATGCCCAAAACCTGACACTGTCGCCCGAATGAGGTCATTCATCGGAGCTTTCAAGGTGTTCTCCCGCATCATCCCTGGATGCTCTATCCTAATGGCAAACCTTGACGACACCATTGCTGGCTGTGAATCTAAACAGATGACTCAGTGGACAGATGACCTCCTTGCGTCATTCCACAAGGCTCAGTCAGCCCTTACCATCGCTCAAACTATCTCACTCCCCATTCCAAGTGATCAGCCGTGGATTGTAATAAACGGAGCATTCTGCAAACCCAGAATAGGCGCCACACTGTACGTCACCAATAATGACAAGTTACGCCCAGCAGGTTTTTCTAGTACCAAACTGCGGGGCTCCCAATGAACGCTGTTACCATGTGAAATAGAGGCTCTAGCATTCACCGTTGCCACCAAACACTTCAGCCCATACCTGGTACAGTCCCATCATGAGGCCTGCATATTGACCAAAAGCAAACCTTGCATACAGGCTTATGAAAAAACCTTGCAGAGGAGAGTTTCCAGCAAGCCCCCGTGTATCTACCTTTCTGTCCACCGTGAGCCGCTATCAGGCTTCTGTAAGACACGTATCTGGCTCTGCAATACTACCTTCAGATTTTTTTACTCGCAGTACAGCTCCGTGTGAGGATAAAGCCTGCTAGGTCTGTGCCTTCACAAGGCTCACATAGGATTCTGATATCAGACGCACGTCAATCCAAGACATATTCAGTGGCAATGAGCGTCTATTTCCCGTTCACCAGTTGCACTGCATGGTTGGCCACACAGGCAGAATGTCCCGATTTACGAGCCACCTACAAATGCATTGTTGTCCCTGGCAGGTACTAGCTCAGACACCCATCCAGTAATCAACTCAAGGGTGTCACAAAGCGCTATCTGTATGCCCTGGATATAGACAAAGCCATCGTCCAAGTGACTAACGCTTGCCACCAGTGTGCTGCCTTGCGTCAAACTCCGAAAGGATGAAAGGAGCAGTCAACCTCCCCTTCGTCTGATGCCGTTGGCGTTTTGCAAAACGATCGAACAGAAGATCAACAATGCGTAAAGTTTCACAGAATCACCCTTTTAGGGATGAGAAACCACACCTTATCTGCCTGTGTCCAAGAATCATAACAACTAACAGAAGATCAACCTGTCAGAATCACCAGATGGTGGTTCAAGAGATCGAAAATGAGTTACCCTAACACGACCCAGTAAGAGACCCCTTGTCCTTTCTGACACTCACAGTAACCACAGCCAACCTCAGCACACACATCCGCTCATGTGGCCTTTCCTCTAGAGAGATGTGGACATAGCAAGATCAATTCAAAACCAGCAAATACCATTGCATGACCAAAGCATCATCGTTAAGCAGAACGAACATCGTATTACCAACCACACCCACAGTGAGAAGGCAAAGGCCCCCATCGTGAGGCGCTGCCCAGCTGATTGCATTGCTGTTGGTGATTTAATCTACCTCTTCTCCGATCGTAACAAGACAAGAACTTGAAATCGCTATTTGCTTGCAGAAATAACCGGTTCTTTTTGCAACATCGGAAGGTTTGTTGGCTCCTAATTTCAAAGCACATCTTATTGTGTGAAGACATCTGATTGCCACAGGGCTCCATCTGAAGTAACAGACGTCCAACCATGAGTAATCAACAGTGATACTAACTCCTCATCTGATGAAGCCCCTCTAGCATAGCCAGTAACTTCCCCTCCATCTCCAAACGTCATACCAAGTGCAATCTCAACACCTGCGACTCAAGAGGTTCTTGATGTTAACCTTCCTGCTGAATGATACGAGCCTTGCGAAGACACTGCCCCTGATCTAGTTTTAAACACCCCACCACAGGCAATGACTCTGATACCTGTCCCTTGCCCCGCATGTCCACACGCGTGCGACGTTGTCTCACACGATAGGATGACTTTGTTATGAACTCTAACTGAGCTCTAGACACTATGAACTGTAACTAAGATTTTGACTCTGAGTCATCAACTCCAACCATGTAACCCCCTACTTCATAGAACTCGGCTAATTTTCTTTAAAAGCGCTATATCCATTACTATTAGCTATTTGCATCTAATTTGGTATTTGTCATGTACCCATGGAGCTCGTCACTAATTTAAAAAGATCGAGGGTAGAGGAAAAGGAAGCCACGCCAGTACCAGACAACGGTACGCTAGTTATAAACATGCATGGCTGCGTGCTTCGCTCTGTTCTTCACGTGTCTCTATGCTGGCTCTTCCTTCATACCAGTTTCATTAAAGCCTCCGTTGTGTTACAGGTTGTGTCATTGATTTACCTCTACTTCATTAACTGATGCAGTATTTGTATCCAACGTAGTTGGTCCTACTTTATCACTGTAATCTTTTGGAAACTCTACAGGGTTTTTCAGCTTGACTTCATGATAGATACTAGGTGTGTCAATACATTTCACACCATTAAACTCCATCTTTAGTACGTTAATGATTGAATGACTGCCATCAATTGTAGCCACAACATCTCCTGGACCAAACTGTTCCTCATCTGCTTTTTTATTCATGTACCCAAATTACCCATTGTACCAATCAAAAGGATGGGCTTCATTCATCAAGAACAAACCTATATCCCGTTTTTGAAAGGCCTTTTTATCTGGTGTAACTACTGGCTTCTGTAAATCAACAGAGACATATTCATATCTTGTACAATATTCGGACGATCTAAACATCTCCACCTCTTTCTGTGCCGTAACGATAGGTTCAACCTGTCTTTCTGTATCCATTCTTATATACTGTTGTTCATTAGCATATTGTTTCAGTGTTTTTTCCACACTTCTGCGTACATTGTCAGCCTTTTTACGCTTCTCCGCATTTGCTTTCAGCTCAGTAACATCTATTATATTATCTTATGTTATATTAGGTGTGTTTTAGAATATATCATGGTTATCAAGAGTGAAAAAATAATTATCATTTATTATCTAAACTAATTTCATATGACGATTCCAAATTATGACAATAACAATAACAGAGTAAGAGAGCATTGAATAATAAATTGAATGAGAACCACCCAAGGCTCATCTGTGGGTAATCAGGTTGTGGAAAGACAAATACTGTGATGCATGTGATACAGAAACCAATGGTGTACTATGATAAGACATATTTGTACACTTCCAATGAACATCAGGACAAGATACAGGATTTGCGTAATATCAGACGTCAGGGAATAACAGTACAGGGTGATGGCATTATGGGCAGTTTTGGGAATTTAGCATCAGAGAAATTCATATTAAAAGGTTTCCCATACTTCACAAAGACTACAGCTGAAGCTGGCTGGTATTATGCATCAGAGAGACAATAAACTGCAGAAAAAGGCTGTTGATTATACTCTTGATAAATTAAATCCATATATTCACAATATTGCTGGAAAGGCATTGGATCATTTATTAACAAAAGTAAGACCCAATAAAAGGTATGAGACCAACAGAAAGGATTTGGATGGAGGGTGATTGGCAGATAGGTTAATAGAACAGGCAAACTCAGTGAAGAGACTATCTGCTGTTCCTGAGGCTATTTGTGTGTGGAAGGATGCTCTCTCTGGACCCACGATGAAAAAAGAATAACAGGAGAAAACAGTTGCTGGTATAAAAAAAAGTATGAGTGGTAGAAGAAAAATGGTAGAAACAAGTCACTAAGTAAATGGGCTGTTGAAAAGAGTCACGCAAAGGGAGCTAAATTTGGTCCATATGGTGAGTCAGTAGATATACAGAAAGCAATAGGTAGATCGCCCAAACCAAGAAGTGGATGGACACTACCAGCGTATAAATATACAGGGCCCTATAATCCATTACATTGAGACATGATAGCATAGACATGAAACTGAGACATGATAGCAATACAGAAGAGATACTGGAAATATGGGACCAACAAACTGGTGCCACAGATTTCGCTGCAATGCAGTATGATGTAGATAACGGTGTATGTAAAGATGATGGAAAGTGTAAGAATGAGGCTGACAGAAAAATGTTAAAATCACTTGATCCTGTTCCATACAAGGACAAACAATGGAGCCATTTCCTTGCAAGAAATATGATAAACACAAAACAGAAACATGATATTGGTCTCAAAAAACTGAAAAAGCCGTCGAGTGAGAAAATGAGTTGGCAACAATTAGCAAAGGAATTACACAAACCTATAAAGAGGGATTTTACTTGATGACGTGTTATTGTTAATGATGTTGATGGACTATAGGCACAAGATCTAGTCGCCATGCAGAAATTCAGTTAATGGAATTGAGGAAATAAGGGAAATCTGCTTATGGTTATTGATGTGTTTAGCAAGTACGGCTGTATGCGTACATCTCCATCTCACATCTCCTATCTACGATCTTTTTACAACAATTCAACAACTCAGTTGTTTATACTAAATTACCTAAGGAAAATCACCTTTTTTAACGATGTTAACCAGTTAACACAATTCAGTTTGTGCATTTGTCGAATTAAATCAAATAAGTTTGTTTGACCATTTTAACTAGTTGAACCAATTCAGTTAGTTTCTGCATTTTGTCCATTTTTACAGCTTAAGATTGTCCAACTATTTTAACTAGTTGGACAAATTCAGCTGGTTTGTGCATTTACACAGTTTAACCGATTCAGCAAGTTTAATCATTTTTATCGCTTGAAGCAGTATTATAGGAGTTGGCGGTTCGAGACCATTTTGATAAGATGTACTCACAAACGCCAACTCAGTACTACTTTCCATATTATGGAAATAGTTTTATGGAAATCATCCGATGCAATTATTTCATGGAAATGAATTGATGGAATTATTTCATGGAATCATCTTATGGAATCATTTCATTATATCAAAGTATCGGAATACTATGGAACACGAACAATATGATCTCACAGCATTTTTTCATTCTATGACGTCCTCGGAAAAATCGGAAGGAACTATTATGGTGTGACTAAATACTCGGAAACAAAATAGGGGGTTCCCCGCCGACAGGTCTGAAATGTTTCTCCTGTATTCAAGGTTGTATGACCGTCATATGATGGTGTAATTATTTTTTCAAACAATCATAATTGATGATGATTGGTAAACAAGAGAATAAGGGAAAATTCCCTTAAAAAACGTCAGTTGTATCTCATGGCTGAGAGTGAAACTGGGTTAACCGATTTAATGAATTATTTGGATTTAGAAGATGTAAATAACACTGACTGTGATAGAGATATCGACGCTGAAATCATCAACGCATTGTATTACCAAGACGTGGCCTTTATGAACGACAATTTTGTGGTGAACAAATTAAAAACATATTTTGATAGATCGAGAGAGAAATCTTTGCTGTCAAGTAAAAGCAACAACGTATGATTTGTTTACTACGTCATGATTGCTGTAATTTGAAGGATTGTGATTTGGCATAAGTAACGTCTTTATTGTTTGAGGAAATAAATTGTTTTTATGAACCTTTTTTATCTGTGATGTCCGTCATTTGAGAGTGTTACAGCTTCACCATCGTATTGTGCTCTTTTGAGGTCTGTTATCCGTTTATCTTAAGCATTCTATCGCCCGTTGTTTTATATTTTCAATTACTGATTACTATTTGTTAGTTTCCGATACCTTGTTTTGCAAGATAATCTATTGACTGCCTCGGTACTACTGACGAGTGTGTGCACATTCTTAATTCGTGATTATCAAAATTAATATGACCTTGAAAGGATTCAGAGCCATCGAAAATAATATTTGCAACAGTGTCGAGATACAAAACAAGTTATCCATATCAACCTCTTTGCTAGTGATGTCAGTCATTTGTAATAAAGTAACATTACCAGCATCAGCATCAGCAGCATCATCGACAACCACAATAAGAAAATCCTTATTAGCAACAACAATACCACACCGCAAAACGGATGCAACTGTAGAAAAAAACAACAAACAACAACTGTCTCATCAACAGTGTAATCTACAAAGCCAACGTGACCACAGACAAAGATGACACAGGAAAGAACTACATCGGACTAACTGAAGGAATATTCAAACAAAGATATACGCAACATAAACTATCATTCCGTAACAGAAAATACGCTAACTGCACCGAGATAATAACAATCGTTTTTGAACTGAGTCTGAAAAAAAACACCATTGAAATTTTTGACGCTGAAGTATTTTAAGATGTCAAAATTTGATATCACAGTGTCAACAAATTCGGGTCTTAAAATATGGACCCTAGAAGAGGAAACCCATTGAAGGATGAGTTATTTCCTCAGAGGGCTACATTTTCCGGTCCTTTTTTTTTTCGTATCCAAAAAACTTGTGTCTCCCTAATTATCGATAAAAAGGTGGTGGTTGATACCGCATGAGCGCATCATAAGGTCTCTTCTGAAGACCATTTCCTCCCTGGTTCGATGTTTTTGTTGATGTTGACGGTTGTGATTGTGGCTGTTGTCGCGGTACAGATGATCGTGGCACAGATCGTCTTGGCTGATTCTGTATACCTTTTCCAGACAATGCATTAAGAAGTTATTTATCACAAGTGGTTCACCAGATTAAAGAGCTGATAGAATCTGTTCTTTCTGTTTTCTCGGTCAGCAAGTTCCAGTGTGTGATCAATTGATCAATTTTATTCTGGGGAATAAGGAAACCACCTCTTCGGCTCTTGTTGTTATACCAACCTTGTCCGAGAATCTTATCCATTTCAAAATTACCAAGGCTACTCAATGCATTAGTTGCAATCCCGGGAACTACCTTCGAGGTGAGATTATTTGTCATTAGTGGCACTTTTGTGCCAAGACTCACAAGAGTTGAGGCTGCCTCTCGCACACATAAACGGAGGAGTTTCAAAAACGTTAATCCCAACGAAGTTTATTCACAGAGCCTTGAGATAACATTCTATAGAAACGAAATAAAAGGTTAATCATGCAATTATCTAACTTAGAATAATCAAGCGCGACACTAAAGAAATCTCCACACCGTTTACGTTGTATACTTCGAAATCATAGATTCGATGGATCACGATTACAAAATAGCTAGAAATGACTTAGCTAAAACACGTGAAAGCCAAAGGAAAAAAATGGCGACCAAGCAAAGAAAAAGGGACGCGGGCGCTAAGCACTTGTATTAATTACCGCCGGCCGAGCTGACTGCACAGTGCTGCAATCAAAAGAGTACTGAACAATGGGCCTTCTTTCCTTGCAACGTGACGAATTTGTCTTTGATATCCTGTCATCAACACTTTCACCAGAGGTAATTGCTTTCTCAATATTTTTGAGTTGTGTCTGAGGATCAACTCATCACTGACTTGTAGCTCATCATTTGAGAGCCGCAGAATAGTGGGTGATTTTTCTTTGAATGCTCTTGCCAATTTTGCCTCTTGATTATCACTCATAGTGACACCATATGAATGATATTGAGTCATAAATTGTATATAAAATATGTTACATAGATTTCATTCATTATGAAAAATAAGTAAATCAAAGACTGTGATTTTAGAAACATATTTAAGCTCTGAGAACCGCTTTTCCACTCATGATCTCAACACTGATTTCTTCCTCATGAAGAATAACAGCATACACACTGTAATTAGCATTTAGACCGCCAAACAGTGTGTATTTGAGTTCAAAATTGGTTGATCCACTTTTCAGCTTTGTCAATAAATCAAACTTTTATCAGCTCTGTTTTCATAAACAACCCATCATATTCCCCCATTATATGCCTCAACAATCATTTCATTCATCAATCGTGGTGTATTGATCAAACGACCACCATACTGATCATCGTTGATCTTTATGCACATCTCTTTGGTTGCTTGTAGTTTCTGAGCCCTTTTCCTGACATTTTAGTCGGCCTTACAAAGTTGATAAGCTCAACTCCTTCCTTTCTGTATTTTCGAAAAATGTTTATGACATTATCATGACCTTTTACAACAGGTTCATTAGCATGGTATTGTTTTAATAATGAACCTTTTTGCTAACCAAGGTTTGATCCTTCTTCTGAAGCTTTTCTTTTCACTTCAAAAAGTTTTGCAGAGTTTTACCTAGTGTGCTAATCCTGATGGTTATTGGTATTTTTATTTGCAAATAAATTCTTTTTCATCCTCTGTCAATGTTTCATCTGGGGTGTATTTATCTACCATCGTCGTATCTTTCGTATTTCAGTTGATTTTGGATTAATAACAACAAATGATTTTTGAGATGATAAGGGTTCTCCATCATCTTGTTCTCTTTCAAATACATGAAGAGCAGGTTCAGACTGTTCGTCATAATATATATGATGTGTTTCTCCATCATAGCTAATTTGAGGTGTTGCTACATCGTAACAAATTTGAGGCACTCTGCGCTGCAATGTGAGAATGTCTCGGTTGGATTCAACAACATCTTCTGATCCCTTTGTCAAAGCCAACTGATTGTCTTGAAGCTGGTTGCTGAGTTTGTCATGTTTTACATCAGCTGCCTTGCTTACTTCTGCCTGGGAATCAACAATAGGTTTTAGGTTTTTTTCACAGTAATCCTTGATTTCTTTTGAGAGCTGGTGTTTCAGAGAGTTAACTTACGTCCTTGTACAAGTCATGAAATATCCATATAAAATAATATTAAATAATTAGTTGTCAGCCTTTTCATAAGATATGCAGAAAATGATTAGTATATATTAGAAAGTTATTCTGATATACCCCCATATAATACGAAGATTCCCAAATATGGGAATGACAATGAACAAAGTGAACAAGTTTTTGGATAAAGAGTATAGCATGTTAGTTTGCGGGCAATCAGGTTGTGGGAAGACAATTATCGTGATGCTTATGTTGCGAAAGCCACTTGTTTATTTTGACAAAATATATTTATATACACGAAATGAGCCTCAAGACAAGATTCAAGATCTGAAAAAGATCATAGACCACGTGTCTGACGAAGTTGGTTATGATGTTAGGGAAATAAAAGGACAAAATGACGTTATGGACACAAGAGGATACCCTGAAGGAAACAGAAAAATTTTTGTTTTTTATGCACCAGATAAAATCAAATCAAAGATAGCCAATTATATCTCAGATGGAAGACATCAGTATATTTCACTAATCTATCTCAGTCAATCCTATTATGATGTACCCCAGAAACTGAGATTAAACTGCGGTCATATGATTTATTATCCACCTGTAAAAAAACCCACAGTGATTTTACTGGAAACGAACATATGACCGATCCGAAATTATTCGAGAGATTAGAACCATGTGGATTCTTTTTTTTTTAACAAAGGGAACAAAAGCATAATGAAGAATTTTGATGAAATTATCTTATGAATATATATATGAAATCACATTGTGTCAGAGAAAAAAGTAAACGAATATATGTTAAAATTCACCTGTGTTGCTAGTTTGTTCAAAACAGGTACTATTATTTTCGTTGGTCAGCCTAAAATTCGGTATTTCATCGCAGTTTAGTGAAATTCTACCTAACTATTTGTTTAAGCATCCATAAACCCTTCTATCCAGGTCACGTGATCTTACACATGAAAATGAGGATACAGAGGGATAAGACTTAGGTCATGTGCTCAGTTTTTTCAGTAAGGAAATGCTCAGATGTCATCAATTTCTGAATCACTACAGGAGTCTGGGCTGTCCATTTAAACATCATTATTCTATGCCTCAGTTCAAGGAAGGGAGCTTGACCTACACGAACAATTTCTTGAACACTGTGATTTACTGCATCCACAGGTAGTTCAGTCTGTTATACCTTCTGGAGCTGGACTCTTTGTCATTAGCACGGACAGTAGACGGATTTCCTTTAATTTCCAGCCAAACCCGTTGGGTGGTGGAAGGTTCAGCATCGGGTTCAACGCATTGTTCCAGATGTGAACCTGAAAGTCGGCTCTCTTGATATGTTGCGACAAGCTGTCAGACGTAGGAGACAGGTCTTTGCCGCCCTTATTCTTTCGACAGAAGAGGAAATACCTTGCGTCGTCAGCGTTGTAAAATCGTCTAGCCGTGGTGTAGAGAGAACAAACAAATGTTTCACACGACTTCTGGAGAGATTCTGTGAGAAGAGGCTTCTCACCCAGGCCAGCAAGTTCCTGTTGAGCTTCACTATCTTCAACGAAGATCTTCCAAGCTTTCTTCTTGCCAATACCAAAAAGTGCACTTATTGCGTCAAAACCTGTCAATGCATAGTAGGGTTGTAAGGACTTTAATATAAGAAGACCAAGGCTGATTCTAGAGAGTGAATGGGAACAAATTCTACTTTATTCTTGACTCCTGTTTTAAACTACAGCTTTTCACATTCGACACTCAGGAAATGAGAAGCTCACAAGACTTCAACTTCTGTATCGGGCAACTGAAAGACATCTCTCTGATAGGCGTTGGCTGCATGTTTGGTAAGAACATAATGAAGGCACAATGAAGGAATATCTACGACTGAAAAAAAAGCCTCTCTACTATCTGTGAATCCTCCTGCTTAAACGACTTGTTGGTGTGGTTGTAGTTCTCTCTTGCAAAGAACGGATAAAGAATGAGAAAAAAAGTTGGCTAGGTTCTGCTTATTCTTTGGATTTGACATGAACCTCCCCCATTGCTTGGGAACTGGCGTATTCTGGTGTTGAATCTTTATCTCCATAGAAGATGCCTCTCCTCCCCTTTGACGTACAATTTCTTTGATAGAAAGTGAGCGGTACTGATCGAATACGAGATCTACGCGGTTACAGTTGTTCTGTCCCAGCACCCGAGTGGTAACCTCATGGTATATATCAGCCATTTCTTCAAAATTTGCATTTCCTACAGACTTTACCATTTGAATCAGCACTATTGCATCAATGAGAACCGCTGTTATCTTGCTCGACACAGGCAAACTGACCAAAGAGTCTCTATTTGTCTTTGATATCGCCATCGGCGAGCTTTTTGCTGTCCTGCACATCGTTCCATCTGGATGAAGAAGAGAGACAGGGACACAGCATAACTCATAACTGAGCATTTCCCTTGGGTTGATTTCTTCTCTTTTGGAAACAACAAGAAGTCGCCTGTGTAAATCTCGATTTGCACTTACGGTAATGACTTTGTCTTTTGATGCTGTCAGAGACCTCTTGTTAGTTGTCTCGAACATCTCAATTTTAAGGTTGGGAGGGGCTCCCAAAAGCTGGCTTCATAACTCTATGGCCTGGAGGTGATAAACCTGAGCATTCCCAGATGCCCCGTGCTCGATGCATCTATGTAACGATGCATCTATGGAACGATCTATAATGTATGCCGCCAGACTGATGCTATCCTGCTTGACTTCTCGAAAGCTTTTGACTCGGTACCCCATCAAAGGCTACTGCTGAAATTGGACTATTACGGTATTAGTAAAAATTTGCTGTTATGGATAAAGGCCTTCATATCCAACCGCTCTCAATTTGTCTCCATAAATGGCACTCAATCTTCTCCCAAGCCTGTTTTGTCTGGGGTCCCGCAAGGTTCAATTTTGGGGCCGGTGTTGTTTCTATTGTATATAAATGATATCACGAATTGTATAAATGCTAATTTGCGTCTTTTTGCTTTTGCATTCAGTCTATCCATTACAGGTTGCCAGTTGTCTTGAAGGCTTCTTTCTGTTTCGTGGCATTTCTGAATGAGTTCAAGTAACTCGTCCTTTGAGGCATCTTGAGAGCAAGATCTTTTTTCCAGCCAGGTTACAAATTCCCATCACAGAAGACGAAACAGTGCTTGTGGGCACGTACTCCACGGTATATGACTTTCCTCCCATTAATGCATTTGTGGCACCAGCAGCATATACCCCAGAGTCAATCAGCAGATCTTCTAACTGGTTTTACAACTTTCCAAGGAACGACAGATAATTCAATGTTATATGGAACCCTCCCAAGCGGACTAAAACCTTTAATTCCTCTGGGTACCTTAGTTGCAGCTGTTTTGCTTTGGTGTAAGTCGCCAAGTCAATAATTACCGCTGAGTTAGGCTGTCCAAGAGTACTTGCAATGTCTGAGGAAAGCCTCATAACTGTATCCATCGTATTGTAATCATTTGCATTAGCTTGCAGTAGGAAGTGATGTTTTGGTGAGTTTAATAGACTGGTATTCACTACATCCAGTAATCTTTTGATGAGCCACTGGATGATGGTTAACATCAAAAAGGCTGTCAGAGTTCAAGCGCAAAAGAAGCCACATAATGTCTTCGCTAACATTACAAAGAAAATGATAATTTTCTTGCAACCATTTTGCATCCTTCATTTTGTTTTGGTAGGTTGTCAATCCTCCTCTTTCCTCCAATTCCAATCTCTTGCACCGTCACCAGGGGCCTTGATGTATCCAAAGATCTTCTTTTTTGAGTATGATCACCAAATGTTCGCGCTTCTGGGAATGGTCCATACTGATTGCTCTAGTGTTTTTGCCGTCAAGGGTCTCTTCGCCGAAATCGTTGTTGTCAGCTGCCATATGGACAAA